ACAATATAATAATAAAAAATTGAAGTGTGAAAGAAAATGTGTGGGGCTCTCCTGATATGACCCCAGCAATGTCCTTGTTTGGTAGGACATGTCTAGTTGTTATTGTTTAGCGGGACATGTGTTAATGTTTACTGCTGCTTCGCATCATCTTCCTGCAGGCTGCAGCTGCCTTTGCAGTTAAAAAAACCTTGGATATATAGGTAGAGGAAACTTTCAAAAAACTTGGGTCGAGCTCCAGCCTTACCTAGACAAGGCTAGGTCCGTGTTGGCTGGCATTGGGATTTCATTTGGAAACTAAATCTCCCCCCTAAAATTAAAACCTTTCTGTGGACCATATTGAAGGAAGTTGAGGTTCCACTCCAAAATTAATTGGCAATGAGGGCGTAGCCCAACTCCTTATAAGCTTAGGCTAAGTTCCTTAAATTTTTCAATGTGGGACAAACACTCTCAACACGCCTTCGCACATGTGGCGAACTTTCAAGCCTAATACGTGGACAACACATATTGGGTGACATAGAAGCACGTGTAGTCGTTGGGCCCAACACATGAAGCCTTGCTCCGATACCATGAAGGAAGTTGAGGTTCCGCCCCAAAATTAATTGGCAATGAGGGGAGTAGCCCAACTCCTTATAAACTCAGATTAAGTCCCTTAAATTTTTCAATGTAGACAAACACTCTCAACACTTATGCCATGATAAAATTCTTACCAACAAAGCTCGATGGAACAAATGGTTATCTGTCAATGCGAGCTGTCGCATTTGTAAGTGGCCTTCAGAATCTATTTCTCATCTTCTTATGCATTGCCCCAATGCCAAGCTTTGTTTGGAATTCCATGGGTCTTACTTTGCATATTCGCCAATCCTTTAATTATAATGTGTATGACTGGATTTTCTTTAATTTGAGGGATACCAAGAGCTATTATTATAACCAGTTGAATTAGAATGTTATTTTTCGTTTTGCCTTGTGGTACATATGGAAAAACCGCTGCTGCAAAGGTCTTTGAGGATAGTCCTTCTCACATTACTCTCTCTAGTCCTTTTGTTTGTAAAGCTGCTAATGATTGGATTTGTGCCAAATTGAGTTCTCACTGTAAGGATGCCAGGGTTGAGGTCTTCCTTGCTTGGGATTTTCCTCATTTTGGGTGGTGGAAACTGAATACTGTTGGCGCTAAATCTGAACAGATAGAGATGAGTGCAACTTACAAGAGATGTGGACGATCTAGGAGATCGATTGAGTTGTAAATGGAGATTCCTCCTGTCTTCAGATGCTGATCCTGAATAGAAGATAAGCGAAGCTCGTGAGGTCTATGGAACCGGTGTGGAACCAGCCTAAGACCCTCCGATGCTCAAGTAAGATTGTTTTTAAGAGCTCTTGCTGTTGACCATATAGAAGTATAAAAGTCAAGCTGAAAAGTCTTACCCCTTTGTTGATGGTGAAGGGGTGTATTTATAGAGGGCATTTGGGATGCTTGTGGTGTTCATTTCCGATGTGGGACTCGTGGGAGGGCCCTGTGAGGTTGACACGAGTCCTTAGATATTTCGGGCGGGTGCTTCAAGGCTGATT